ATAAGATTAGAAAAGTAGATTGTGACAGGTTTTGCCAACTCTGTTGAGAATTTTGGACCTTTCGAAATAGGTAAGGGAGATCTCCTGAGTGACTATGAGTGGAAAAGCATCAGCAGGAAGACCAGCTTTGTTAGAGTAGTCCATGAATGACAAGTAAATTCTCAAGTAGCGCAGTGGTGATTGAAAAAATGGGCAGAAGATAAAGGTTTGTGTGCAGGAAGAATTGATAAGCCCTGGTGCTGCTTTTGAGTTTGACAGTCCATGCTCTCATTCCCAGTTGACACGAAAGCATTTGTCCTCAGCATTCTAAGTTCTCCTTATCCCTTTTCAGCTACTTTATTATGCACTTTCATGATAATATGTGAAATTCAAAGTATCATTTATCATTTACTTTGTGCCACATTTCGACTTGATTTTTCAAACTTCTTGTTTTTACAATAAGCATTATCATGCTTCTGAAAAGTCGGCCAGAAATGAATCAAGGGAGAAGATGGAAGGGAAGAGACATTTTGAGCAGTTATCATAATCTAGCCAGTACCTTAGCTGCATTACTGGCGATATCTTCACCATCATCCTATGAGCAGTTTTTACATACGTTTTGTGGATGAAAATACTGAGGCCTGCGGAGTTTTAAAACATGGCAAATGTCATGTAACTGATGGGTGTTGAGAGCTACAATTCAAACGTATGTCTTCCTGATGTCAAAACCATCAGTCTTCCTACTGCTTTACATTTCTTCCCTTACCTGTCTTCAGGTGAAGACCTTTAAATGCTCACCTTTAGGAACTCAGAAATGATAGTGATAGTGTGTGATATTTATAAATATGGCAGTAAAAATTGCTCGAATTTTCATTATCACTTTTATTTCTTAGTACAACCATAATGTGAAGGCTTTTATTATAACTGCTTATGGAAATGAATTTTATAGCAGCCATTAAATGTCACTTGTTTGTACTCATTTCTACATTTTCTGAAATTTGAAATTCTCATCTCGTGAATCAATGAATTGAGATAACCACTAAGGGAGCTTTCATATGTAACCAGATAACAGATGGAAACAAAGATGATAAGAGCAGGTTTTGCTTGAGTTGCTACATCTTCAAGAATTAAGAATTGATACAAATCCTGAACTTTTGTTTTGCTTAAAGAGGGAATTCTTCCTTTCCTCGACTGGCCCCAGACCTGATTCACTGTGCTCAGAGTGTGAGCTGAGAGTCTGGTGGGGTCTTACCAACTCAAACCATTCAGTCAATGGTGATGAACTGGCTGAAACATAAAGCCGAGGCCACTGGTCTTCGCTGTTTGCCTTCATGCAGTTTTGTTAGCACGTCCTTTATTTTTAACGTCATGGTTTTCAGAGACTGAGCATTTCCACATCTGTGTTTCTGGCACAAAGACTAGACTTTCCAGTTCACTTTGTGTTTCTGTTTATCAATTTGAAAACAGATGCAACATTTAGTCATTCAATTTGCAGTGTTATTTGAGTGCCTACTATGTACCAGGCTTTGTTTCTCTGACTGGAGAATTTATCAATGAACAAAATAGACTCGCAGACCAAACTATCCCTGGAGCATAACATATAACTTACGTATTATGTTAGAAGGTGGTAAATGCCATAAAAAGTACAGACATTAGTGAGCAGGAGAGCTGGAGAGTCAGCTGGTGGGCTAGCATTTTAAAGAGGGTGGTCACGGTGGGGCTCACTGAGAATGTGACATTTGAGGAAGACTTGAGTAAGGGAAGAAAGTGAGTTATTTGGAAGAAGAACAGACCTGACAGAGCAGCAGCCAATGCAGAGGCCCTGAGGCAAGAGAGTTCTTTATGGGTTTGAGACAGTGAGTCTCAAAGTGTGTTTCCTGGAATAGCAGCACCACATCACATGGGATTAGAAGTGCAAATTCCCAGATGCTGTTCCAAGCCTGTAGCACAAGCCTTCCAGGTGATCCTCATGCACTGAAATTTGAAAACCACTGATGTAGGAAATAACAAGTGTGGCTGGAGCAAAGTGAAAAATGGGAGAGAAGTAGGAAATGAGGTCCCAGCAGTAATGAAGGAGGTGGCAGCTTGGTAGAGCCTTAGAGGCCTTGGTAAGGTCTTTACCTTTCACCCTGAGTGGAAAGATTGGCCATTGGAGGGGTTTGAGAGAGGAAGTATGTTTTAGTAGCATCATTCTGACTGCTGGGCTGGAAGTAGACCGGCGGGTAAGGCCGGGGGTAGGGAGACCTGTTTAGACCTCCTAATTTAGAGGGGAGGTGACGATGATAGTTTAAACCAGGGTAGTGATAGTGGAGGGAGTGAGAAATGATTAGATTCTGAATCTCATTTTGAGGTGGAGATGATAGAACTTGCCAATGAATTTGTTGTTGAATTTGAGGAAAAGAAAATGACCAAGCAGGGTTCAAAAGTTTTGGCCAGAGCATCTGGAAGAATAGTGTTGCCATTTGCCAGGCTGTGGAAGGCTGAGGTGGAGCAGGTTTCAAGGGAGGATCAGACGTTTTGTTTTGCTGATGGTGCTAAGTAGGAGACGTCTCTTAGATGTCCAAATGGAGATGTTGAAAGGAGGTGTGATCTGAAGCTGAGATATAAACTTGGGAGTTATCAACATAGCAATAGAGTTTAAAACAAGATGTAATTCGTGGAGTAGTATGGGGATAAGTTTCTTGTAAGCATAAACTAAATACTAAAAATGAATAATTGTAAGAGCCACTAAAGGGAAGAACTTGCGTAATGGTTAACAGTGACAGTTTGGGCTAGGTCTGTCCTCTCCTTTCCCTCCACGTTTGTGTGCACACTGGATCATAACAAAGGTAAATTGTGTAATTAATCATGTAATCAGTGAGTAGTCCATTATGTTTTATATGCTTTCATATGATTCATCACTGCATCACTTTAGATTTCTGGCTCTCTTAGTAGGGAGTAGAATCTATAAAACCTACTGTATTAGTCCATTCTCTCACTGCTATGAAGAAATACCTGACTGGGTAATTTATAAAGGAAAGAGGTTTTATTGACTCACAGTTCTGCATGGCTGGGGAGGCCTCAGGAAACTTACAATCATGGTGAAAGGTAAAGGAGAAGCAGGCACCTTCTTCACAGGGTGGCAGGACAGAGTGAGTGCAAGCAGGGGAAGTGCCAGATGCTTATAAAACCGTCAGATCTTGTGAGAACTCACACACTGTTACGAGAACAGCGTGGGGGGAACCACCCCCATGACCCCATTACCTCTATCTGTTCCCACCCTTGATACATGGGGATTATGGGGGTTCCAATTCAAGGTGAGATTTGAATGGGGACACAGAGTCAAACCATATTACCTACTGAGTCATATCCAGAGTACCCAATTGAGAATATACATTTCTGAAGCTGATCTAGAGATTTGAGCTTGGTACCCTACGTTCAGGTAGCTGCCGTGAGTCGAGTCGAACTGTCAAACACGCTCTCCTGTGATTTTGCTGTTTGTCACCTGCACTTAACCCTAGTTTCCCCATATTTTACTTATAATGAATTGTACATTATAAATGCAGTTAAATGTGGGTAAATTGTCAATAGACTCCATATCCAGGAAGCTCTTCAAATAAACTCCCTTAATACATAAGTTTCATTTTAAATTTGTAAATATCATTTATTTATTGTTCTTTCCATTTTAGATTCTTTTCTTTAGCGTCACAGATAGAGTCTCTCATATAGCAAGTTGATATCCACGTACAATTTGACTTAGTGCCAGAAGCATATTTCTCTTTTGTCTCCCTGCCTTTGGGCTTCCTCTTCCTGTGGCTTGCTTGGTGTCACACGTATTTCTCCTTCCCCTACCCTTGCCACCAACTCCATCTTTTCTTTCCTTCTCTTCCTCTGTCTTTCCCTCTCCAAGCTGCCAAGAGGAAGAAATGGCCAATAAGGAGAATAGTCTTCCAAGGTTTCACTCTCCCAGCTGTCTACAAAGCTCCCTCAGAAAAGATGCAAAACTTTTCTGCTCTTGGAGACAACAGCAGGCCAAGAAGACTTTTCAATTTAAACGTGCTCGGAGTTGCAGCTCAAGTTGCTTGCCTAAGATTTTGGAGAGTAGTTTTTCACAGACTTGGATACTTTTTCAATTAGCAAGTTTGAAATAACACATTTAAACAATAATGGAACTTTCTTAAGAAAGTAGACAGAAGTAAACCTATATAATCAGAGATATATATCTTTGTTTTCAAATATATGTCCCCTTCAAAAGAAGATTATATGTGTAATGTTAAATATAATCACAACAATCACTTGAAACTGATTTGACTTTAGAAAACAAATGGGTGATTAGAAGGATGCTGGTAGTATTTTTTGCTGGTTTCATGTTGCTTGGCACCTATTCTTCCTTCCTCTGTTACTTCTCCTCTACATTTTTTAAAAATTTTATTTTTAATTTTATTTTATATTAGATGGAGTCTCACTCTTTCTTCCAGGCTGGAGTACAGTGGCATGATCTCAGCTCACTGCAACCTCCGCCTCCCTGGTTCAAGGGATTCTCCTGCTTCAGCTTCCCAAGCAGCTGGGACTACAGGCATGAGCCACCACGCCCAGCTAATTTTTTTGTATTTTAGTAGAAACAGGGTTTCACCATGTTGGCCAGGCTGGTCTCAAACTCCTGACCTCAAATGATTCGCCTGCCTCCACCTCCTAAAGTGCTGGGACTACAGGTATGCGCCACCATGCGCAGCTATTTTTTTTTCTTTTTTTTTTTTTTTTTTTGGTATTTTAGTAGAGACGGGGTTTTACCATGTTGGCCAGGCTGGTCTCAAACTTTCGACTTCAAATGATCCGCCCACCTCTGCCTCCCAAAGTGCTGGGATTACAGGTGTGAGCCACTGTGCCCAGCCCTTCTCCTTTTTTGATGTCCATATTTCCTGCAGTTGATTATGATAAATACAGTAGAGGAACTTGAAAGCAGCCATGTAGGTTAATGTCTTAAGGAATACTCAACAGGACTAGTTAATTGAGGTAGAAAATATATTTGTGCAAACCAATAGGAATTGGAGAAAGAAAGAACTTATCTGATGGAAGATGTAACTGCAAACAAAAGAAGAATGAAGGAACTAGAAGATAACTTGCTTTACCGCCTGACAAGTACCCAGGGGTCCCTGGTAGAAGACGAGAGTCTCATTGTTGTGCTGAGTAACACAAAAAGGACAGCCGAGGAGGTGACACAGAAGCTAGAAATTTCTGCTGAGACAGAAGTTCAAATTAACTCAGCCCGGGAGGAATACAGACCTGGTGAGTTTGGTATTGAAAGACAAATGTCACAGGAAAATGAAATGAGAGAGGAACGAGAATTAGAGAAATGGAAGGATGTGAGGGAGTTATACAAATGATTATGCAAAGTGGAGGTGTTTTGTGGAATTTCTGTTGGGAAATATTTGGTAAAATGGAGGTCAAAAATTTTTATAATGCTATACATTTTCTGAGTACTTGTCATTCATGTTAGTAAATCCTTTAAGATTCTCATGAACTTGTTTTGATGTTAGAAAGTAAAGAAGGAGAATTTTAAAAAATCTGATGACTGCAAATGAGTGAAATCTGAGGAATTAGTGCCCAGTTGTTTGTTGTTTGGTAACACTACGTTGGTATTTTGTTTATAGTTTTTTATTAGGAAGGTAGTTCTGTGGTCTCATGGGAGATTTTCATCCTCAGCCACCAATTTGCAAATTGGCCTTGTACAAGAAAAGCCTGCTAAATAATTCAGTTGGATTGGCTATCTTTTAGTATTTTATTATTCCTTTTAACAAATAATTGGCCAGACGCGGTGGCTCACGCCTGTAATCCAAGCACTTTGGGAGGCTGAGGTGGGCTGATCACCTGAGGTCAGGAGTTTGAGACAAGCCTGGCCAACATGGTGAGATCATCCTGGATAACATAGCAAAACCCTGTCTCTACTGAAAATGCAAACAAAAAAAAATTAACCAGGCATGATGGTGGGCACCTGTAATCCCAGCTACTCAAGGCTACTGCACTTGAACCCAGGAGGCGGAGGTTGCAGTGAGCCGAGATCGCGCCATTGCAGCCTGGGGACAAGAAGCAAACTCTGTATCAAAAATAATACTAATAATAATTAAACTGTCATTTATTGATAGAGAGGCAGAAGCATCATCTTTGCAATGGGTCGTTTTCCAGACTTGAAGCCCAGGTTAGGCATGGCTTCTTGCTGGAACTTAAGGATGAGGTCCCTAATGGCTACCTCGCTTGCTGGGTGTTAAACACACAACCTTTGAAATTTCTTTGGTTGTCTTTTCTACCTGCAGTAAAAATAGAAAAAATATTTTTACGAGGGGTCTAGAGATTCTAAAATGAGAAGTGCCATTTAATAAATACAAATAGCTGACAACTTACAAAATGTTGTAAATAAGAAATAAATATATTAATAAGTGAGTATCGCTTTGTATCCCATATCTGGTAGGCAGCCACTGATAAGATATAAAAATAAAAGTTGTTGTTTTCATTTAGAGTTTAAGCTGATCTCTCTGCATGGGTCATTTATTTTCCTCTTTCGTAGCACATGCAACCTTGCTCTTTGTCTTCCAGTGGCTACACGGGGCAGCATCCTCTACTTCCTCATTACCGAGATGCGCTTGGTTAATGAGATGTATCAGACTTCGCTTCGCCAGTTCCTGGGCTTGTTTGACCTTTCCTTAGCCAGGTATGTCAGTACTCAGGAAGCTAAGCTGAATTCTAGATCTGTGCACCAAAATAATGACATTACATTTATAGCTTCCTTCCCCTTTGTTAGTAAGAGTCTTTTTCTTTTTTTTAAATCTCAGATCAGTGTAATTACCAATGTATTAACAAATCATTCTGGTTCACCATTTTATGCCCAGAGAAAACTCTGCCAACTATTTATCCATTGATTTGATTCCTTTGTCTTCGTGTGTTTCTGTTAAACAAGAAAATTCCCGAGATCTTGTTGTGAGTAATAATGCCCTGCAGGTGGAACTGATTTAGACAACATTCAGGATTCTGTTTTGTTATTTCATGTTGAGAGAATGCTTGTTATTTTAGATTTAGGAGGCTTACTCTTGATGTGTAAAAATAAGTATTCTTCCTCCAAAGTTACTTATTTTCCATTAAAGACAATTGTTTTTACAGACACTTGAAAAGGGCAGCGGGATAAGCCCGATATAAATGTTATCTTCACCAGGTCTGTCAAGAGCCCAATTACAAGCAAGAGGATTGCTAATATCATCGAGCACATGACCTACGAGGTTTATAAGTATGCTGCCCGAGGGCTGTACGAGGAGCACAAATTCCTGTTCACCTTGTTGCTTACCCTAAAGATTGACATCCAGAGGAACCGAGTCAAGCATGAAGAGTTTCTCACTCTTATTAAAGGTCAGTATAAGAATACATACTATAGCACACAGGTGCAGATGGAGGAGTTATTGTGAAAACCCTTTGCAGTACATTTTTTGGTTCTAACAATTTCCTTGCATTATGTAAGATTGCATTTAGATGAGATATTTTACTTGTTCTTTTCTTGAGTGATAACTATCTATTGAGGACCTACTGTATACCTGGGCATGGAATAGGTATTTGGGGCATGTCAGTGAACAAAAACCCTTGAAAAGCATATATAGATTTAGGGAGGGTACAGAAAAAAATAGTAAAATAATCAATGAATTTTATAGTGAGTGGGAAGATGGTAAGTCCTATGGAAAACAGAGCAAGATGAGAGGGGTGGGAAGTTACAGGGCATGTGAGGTGGGAGAAGCTTCAAGCTTTAAGTGGAGTATTTAATGGGGTGGCATTCCTAAGAGATCGGTAAGTGGGCAAAGACCTGAAAGAGCAGGAGGTGCTGGCCATGGGGACATTTAGGGGAAGAGGGTTGAAGCAGAAGGGATGGCATCAGGGTCTCTGGTAGAGTGAGGCTGGTGTGATGAAAATAAAACAAAGTAACTGAGTGATGAGTGAAGCAGATGAGGACACTGTGCAGCTCATCCTGTGGATGATTTATTCTGCATCTACTGAAGGGTTGCTCACAGCCAGGTCCACTGAGTCATTCAAATGAAACAGTCCAGTGGAAGGCTGGAAAACATAAATTCACTATCACATTCTTGAATGTCTTGAAAACAGTATTTGAAGTAACTGTGTGTCTTAATTCTCAATACTATAAGAAATTACTATAGACTGGGTGGCTAATAAACAACAGACATTTATTTTTCACAGTTCTAGAAGTTGAAAGTCCCAGATCAGGGTGCAGTACAGTGGGTTGTAGTGAGGAGCCTCTTCTGTGTTGTAGACAACTGTCTTCTCATTGCATCTTCACATGCCGGGGAGCAGAGAAGAGGAAGCATGCCCTCTAGTGACTATTATAAGGGCACTAATCCCATTCCTAAGGGCTCCGCCATCATGATCTCATCTAATCATAATTATGTTTCAGTGGCCTCACCTCCCAGGACCATCAGAACTGAGATACAGGGTTTCCACCTATGAGTTTTGGGGAGACCCAATATTCATCCCATAACGCTATGAAAATGAAGCCAGGGTCTAAATAGATTCATCTAGTATGCCTTGCTAAACCAGTTCTTTAAAAATAAGACATAATTTTATCTATCAGGAGATTTTCATGCTTAACATGGAGAGTAGATTTGTAGGGGAACTTGAAGATGACCCCTAGGGGAACAGAAGGGAAGGAATGTGGATATGCATGTGCTGTGCCCTGGTGGGGGTTATAGGTCCATAGTCTTACATATGCAAATGCATTTTCGTATTCATATACATATGCATATGTGTGTGTATATACATGTATCTTATAGTAGCAACAAAGACTCATCTGTTTAGATTTGAACTTAGAAATGGTTAAATTATGGACAATCTCTCTTTAATTGTCTGTAACTATTAAAGATTTACTCTTTAGCTATATATGAACTTTATTTTCCAAATTTCCTAAATCAGAATAATTGGCAGATGAGTATCTGGAGAGAAAGATGTGTAGATGTACCAGTTGCCTTCTTTGGTGAACCCTTAATATGTTACTGATTTCTGGACTCAGTGACTCTAGTCCCCAGTTTCTAGAGCTTTTCAATGGATTGTTGTTCGTGTCATTCTCAACTCAGGTATGCAATGTATTTCCACATAGAAATAACTTCGAACAGAGTATCCAGCTCTTGTTGAAATGCTGTGAAGCATATCACAGTTTGTCTTGATGATAGCAAACATAAGATTTAGAGTTAGGAAGTTGAGAGTTAAAATATCTGTTGGCTTTGTCACTTTCTTGATGAGTGATCTTGAGAAGGTCATTTATCCTTTTCAAGCTCCAGTTTCCTCATCTGTAATACAAGGATAGTAAAATCTACATAGTAGGATTATTGAGAATTTATACAATTTATGTAAATCCTGATACATAAGATATGCTTAGCAAATGATGGGCATCTTTATATTATCTTCAGCACTTTAGTTATTTTGATTAGTCTGATGCTTGTATGGGTTGGACTGGTTGTCTTGGGTCTTTGGCTTTCAACAGCTGTTTATAACACTGCTTTATGAGACAGTTTCAGAGGAAACTTTGGAGCAGGATTATGTTGCAAATCTGCCCTTCATTCGTTAGGTTGATGAGAGCTACCTGGTGATATAAACTCTCTCTGTAAGGACTTTAAAATCATTTAACATAATTTAAAATGTTATTTAGATAGTGTTATGGTGCAAATGTTTGTATCTCAATAAAATTCATACGCTGAAAACCTAAACCCCAAGTTATGGCATGAGATGGAGGGATTTTTGGGAGGTGATTAGGTAGTAGGGGTAGAGTCATGATAAGGGATTGATGATCTTGTAAGAGAGGCTCGCCTTTCTTACAAGCACAGAGCATGGTGGCTCAAGCCTGTAATCCCAGCACTTTGAGAGGCCGAGGCAGTCAGATCACTTGAGGTCAGGAGTTCAAGACCAGCCTGGCCAACATGGTGAAACACCGTCTCTACTAAAATACAAAAAAAAAAAAAAAAAATTAGCCAGGAGTGGTGGCTCACACCTGTAGTCCCAGCTGCTCGGGAGGCTGAGGCAGGAGAATCATTTGAATCTGGGAGGCGGAGGTTGCAGTGAGCCGAAATCATGCCACTGCACTCCAACCTGGGTGACAAGAGTGAGACACCCTTTCACACACACAAAAGGGCTCAAGAGAGACCCTAAATCCTCCACCACGTGAGAATTGCAGTGAGAATATGGTTTTCTATGAACCAGAAGTGAGCTCTCACCAGACACCAAATCACTGGTGCCTTGAACTTGGACTTCCCATCCTCCAGAACTGTGATAAATAAATCTCAGTTGTTTATAAGCAGAATGCCTCCTAGAATATGATATTCTATTGTAGTGGCTGTTGAGCCCACTAACTACAACAGATTTCAATTTTTTTTTTTTAAAGACAGAGTCTTGCTCTGTCACCCAAGCTAGAGTGCAGTGGTGCAATCATAGCTCACTGTAACCTCAAACTCCTGGGCTTAGGTGATCCTCCTGAGTAACTAGGACTACAAGCTCATGCCAGTACATCCAGCTAACTTTTAAATTTTTTGTAGAGATGAGGTCGCATTATGTTGCCCCAGCTGATCTCAAACTTCTGGGTTAAGCTATCCTCTTGCCTTTCCACCCAAAGTCCTGGGATTACATATGTGGGCCACTGTTCTTGACCTCAGCGGTGTTTTGATGCTGGTCTTTTAGTCATTTCTAAGATGGGAAAGGCTCAGCCTAGATTAGTCTGTAAGTCTGCCTTAGCTGTGACAATTTACGATTGTGTGGCATAGCTTGTATAAAACTTTCATTGTAAGCGTGTATCATTTTCACAAAGTATTATGGTAAAAACCCAAACTTTTTTTTTTTTTTTCCAAAGCAAGAGTTTGAGAAAACAAGGGAACAGCATAATTCTCAATCATCTGGACAACTATTTCAAATTATTCCTTTCTCAGCTATTTATCTTTCAAGGGTCTATTTAATTTGTTACCACATTATTCAGGAATATGTCCTCTCCCCCAAGTTACAATCACTATTTGTGCCTAATTGTGTACTTTGGGAGTGGGCAGGTTAGTCAAAACATAGTTACCCACTCATAAACAACGAATAATACTCTGGCCTGCGAGGAACACTCTTTCCTTTTCGTGAATAGCCTTTCCCTAACCCTCTGGTGGGTGTGTTATTCTTTTCAGTTTGTTGGAAAATGGGCAGTTGCTAAGGTGCAACATTTTATTCAACACAATGCATTGTCTTTAGGTCTTTGCTCACTGGTGTTAAAATTTATGCAAATATTTACAGTATTTTCATCAAATTGGCTTCAAGGCCATACTTACCTCATTGTAAATACATTATGATGGATTTGGCAAAAAATAACAATTTAGTAGTGTACAAGATGCCTGGATAAAATAGAGATTAGCTCAATGGATATCTTGAGTATTATCATTTGTTTATAACCTACTCTGCTCAAAGGTTTTTAAAGTGGCCAAATGGATTGATTTTATCATTTTAAGAATAATGCATAGGCTGGGCACGGTGGCTCACGCCTTTAATCCCAGTGCTTTGGGAGGGAGGCTGAGGCAGGCAAATCACCTGGGGTTAGGAGTTCGAGACCAGCCTGAAACACATGGAGAAACCCTGTCTTTACTAAAAATACAAAATTAGCCAGGCATGGTGGTGCGTATCTGTAATCCCAGTTACTTGGGAGGCTGAGGCAGGAGAATCACTTGAACCCAGGAGGTGGAGGTTGCAGTGAGCCAAGATCTTGCCATTGCACTCCAGCCTGGACGACAGAGTGAGACTCCATCTCAAAAAACAAATACTCAACAAAAGGAGATTGGCACAGGTGTGCAGGTTGTTTGTTCATTTTCTCCCCCAGGGAGTGTTAAAAACTTATGGAGTAACTACCTCCAAGTGCACTTAGGTACTGTGGAATCATGAAAACAACCAGATTCAATGATTTATTGAGAAA